CGGCTGGTCAGAATGCCCCCCCCCGGACAGAAGGCTTCCAGAAGCAGCCCGCTTTCTGCCGTATGGGGATTTCTGGATGCATTGGACTCCAACTCCCAGGATCCCCCATTGGGTCTGTCGGCACACAGAACCCATAATGCCCCAGCGTCTGGCTGGATGCTCTTGTGATGGAGCATGACAGCTTTCTTACTCCTTGATGTCTTTTATTTACTGTATATTGTTTATAGGCTGCCTTTCTCCCCTTCATGGGCGGATTCAAGGCATACCAGAAGAAGCTCTACCAAGACAGCAGGTTTAGAATCCTACACCGAAGGAGGCGCTTCTGACGCTACCTGCCTCCCCCCCACGCACACACACACACACACACACACACACGGCTGCCCTGGACGCTCCCAGCAGAGCAGCAAAACTGTCCACTCTCTCTCTCTCTCTCTCTCTCTCTTTTTCTGGTTCTGCAAGTCGAGAGTCTGGTTCATTAATAGCAATTAGGTCACGGTTGCGCCATATGTGCCTGCAGGCGGACTCGCCGATGTGGGCCTGCGGAGCGGCAGCAGGCGAGGAGGCCGGGTGCCCTTCGTCATGTTGGCCGACCTCCCGGCGTGGCTGCTGGGGTGGCAGGGGGAGAGGGACAGGGACAGCCCCCCCCCCCGTTCAGTGGGCAGTTGCGGGAGGGGAGGTCTCCTCGGGCTCCCAGGGTTGGGTTCCCTCCCGAGGTGGGCAGGGCAGGCCCCCTCCTGCTGCTCTTGGCCTCCTCTTGGCCTCCTCCCGGGTCCCTTTTGGGGCAGCCGCTTGGCTGGGTTCCTCCCCATGGCACAAAGTCCTGTTTGTCCCCTGGTCCCGTGGGGCTGCCTTTGCATCCTGTTCTCCGTCAGGTCTTCCTTCGCCCCCTAAACCTTTTCCCCTCCACTTGCAACCCCTCTTTCCTTCCCCACGTCGGGGTTCTGGGCCCGGGATGCCTCCCCTTCTTCTGCTCTGGGCCTGGCCTGCTGGAGTTCGACATGGACCCCCGCCGCCCCCCCCACGGCCATCGGTCAGAGGGTCAAGGCAGAGCACATTCCCTAAAGGCCTGCTGCTGTGATGGGGAAGCATTTTGGGGGGGGGACTTGCAGAGGGTCACCCATTGCTGTGGCCGTGGGGGGGGGCTCCTCATCAGCATCCAGAGCAATTACCTTGGAAGGGAATACTGGGCTGTGGACGTTTGAAGCTCAAACGCTTCTGAACGATTGTATTTTTAATCTCTTGAGGTGCCGCTAGATTTGGGTTCAGAGACTGAACAAGAGAAAGATAACTTTCGGAACCTCCCAGACTTTGCTGGGCTCTGTGAATGCCTTTCAAACCCAGGCATCTTTTTCTTTCTTTCCCTCTGTATAAAGACTGGGTGTGCCCCTTCTATGTGCGCGCGTACCTGCTGTGAGCGCCGCAGCCCGGCTGCTTTGGGTGCCGCCTCCTTGACCGAGCCGTCTCTTCTCCTGCTCTGTTTGTGTTCTTGGTACGCATGTGTGCATGGAGGGCTTCCTCGTGGCAGGGTGGCCCGTGTTGCATTTATTTCTCATTTGCTGCTTGAGTAACGAGAGGGGTTTGCCTGGCTGGTCGGCTCTCCCTTCCCTTCTGGCTTGTTTTCCTTTTCCCCCCTTTGTTCCATCAAAGGGAGATTTAAAAAACAAAAACGGTCGGTGTGTGCCCAGTGCTTTTGTGGTGTCTCCACAGCAGCCTTTGGCTGTGCCTGCTTCCTACAAGCAGAAGCGATGGCCAGTGAAATTTGACAGGGGATTTGGGTTTGGAAAGGACTCTTTCCCCACATCCTGGAGGTTCACAAACCATCAGCGGAGGAGTTGACCTCTAGGGTTGGGTCTCCTTGTGGCGGCATCTGGGGGGGGGGCTGCCAGGCCATGCCTGGGGATCCTTCTGGGGGCAGAGGCTGGAAGGCAGATTCTCTAAAAGCTTCGAAGCAAAAAAGCTGTCTCCCTGGCAGAGTGATAACGATGGCCCTCTTAAGCAAGCGTACCTGTATTTTATAGCTGGGGAGGGGGCAAAAGGGAGCCCTCCGAAAGTTGCTGGAGGGCGGCTTTCCATGTTCATTATGATCTCCCCCCCCCCCC